TTTCTACAGCTATGTATAGTCCAAGTGCAAGATTTAACCAAATATTATTTAAAAGATATCCATATTTTTTTTTGTCCGTCAAATTATATAAATTTTTATCTTGTAATGATACATCACTTTTTAAATTTTTATTAACAGCTCCACGACTTTCGCGGGCGACCTTTTTTTACCCATAGTGGATCAACTTCTATAGTTTTTGAAAAAATCACTTAATTCTCTTTCGAGTTAATAAATTTCTCACTTTTTTGAAGTATTTTCCCGGACTAATACTCGATGTATATTTTTTTATAAAATCATCATAACAATCAAGAGATTAATAAATTTCTCTTTGATTTTTTAAATAATTGAAAATCAAAAAAGCTCTATTTCAGTATTTATAAAAGCTCTTCACATTTTTCCATCTTTTAAAAATTTCTGCCGTATTCATATAAGCATTAAAATTTCGAGGTTCCTTTTGCAGAATCTTATTAAAATCTGATAAAGCATCTTGATCTTTTATTCAAAGCTCTATAAACCATTCCTCTTCGTTCTAATGCCATTATATTTTCTTCACATCGTAATGCAGATTCTAAATCAGCGAACGTTAAATCATAACGTCCTATAATCCGATAAATGTCATCACGAATTGCTAATATTGAAATAGAATTTGTTGTATCCAATTTAAGTGCATAATTTAAATCTTTCAACGCTTTATCATAGAGTCCAAGCAAACAATATATATTTGCTCTTGGACTATACATAGCTGTAGAAATAGTTATAGGTAAAATAAGGCCACAACTCATAACTTATGCCATAATTTTTTTGGATTATAAATATTAATAACGTTATTGTAGTTATATATTATACATAGCAATTATATATATATTAGTTTACAAATAAAAATTCAGTTTATGTTTATTTCTTATTATAAAGTACGTTTAACAATTATCAGAACTATTCTTTACTATGGTCTTTAAAAAAAGTTTAGACCCAATGCTATCTGGTGGACGTGTTACCAATGATTAATGGTATTCGCATTCAGATAGTAAAAGCAAAAGTATATGAATAATGTAAATTACATGAAGTTTTTTTTTTTTTTTTAGGCGCGATTTAATCCAGTTTCACAACGTCAATCAAGCTTTAGGCAATACCAAAATTAAAGTGGAAATTATGTCACAATACTTTTCGCGGCATGTATAATTGGACCTTGGGTCAAATATGGATTAATTTGTTAAAACTCAAAGATGATTTTTATTTAAGATGTCTGGAATAAAGCATACTTAAAAAAAAAATAAAAAGAAATATAAGCTAATTATATACAGATCAAGGGGTGAACCTTGACATTTCTTCTGACTGATGCGCATCTTTAAATAATTCACACTTTGTACTGTATTTCGTAGAAGGCGCATTATTTGCAGTTGTATGGTATAATACAATTAGGAAAAAAAATAAAAGTAAAAATAAAATAAAGCAAGAATAAAGCAATAAGAAAGAGAAAAAAAAAAAAAATAATGTAATAATATAACTAATAATAAAATAATAAAATAAAAAAAGAATATAATGACGAGATGATATAATGATAGGACGATGGAATAAATGAATGAATAAATGATTAAAAAATGGTTGAATAATGTAATAGTTAACTATATATTTGATAATAAATCCAACTGTTTTTTTTTCTTGTTTTGATAGATCCTGAAGATCTCTAAGTTTTTTTGAAATTTCTTCCAGCGATCGACGCTGGTTTAGATTATAATGCCAACATATTTGATATATAACCATAATCATGTTATTTATAATGAATTTAACAATTTCTTCCTTCCATAAATCCTTAAGTTTTTTCGAAATATAATTTGATTCTGGACGTTGTTCAGGGTCATAATCCCAGCATCTTTTGTAAATTTGAATGTATGGGTCTGGTGAGTCTTCAATAGAGTTTTCTCTTTCTCCTTGTCGTATACGTATACAGAGCGCTATATTTGGGTTTAAGACAGTATTTCCATTTCTAAATGATTGGAATGGTGGCCGGCCACTAGAAATTTCCCAAAGAATTACTCCTAAACTATAAATATCAGACTTCTTGCTACATTCATATGGATTGTCTCCGAAGCACTTAGGATCAATGTATTCTACCATCCCGTGAAAAGTAGAACCTGAAGTTCTTGATGTTTCATCTTTTGATAAGCCAAAATCAGCAATCAACATTTTTTCATGGTGAACTAGAATATTTTTAGAATGCTAAGACAAAAAGGGTTATTTGCTAGCATATAGAAATAAACCCATAGTGGATCAACTTCTATAGTTTTTGAAAAAATCACTTAATTCTCTTTCGAGTTAATAAA